GAGGTTTTACAAAGAAATATTTGCTCTAGAAAAATACAAAAGACATCAGTTAGAATATGAGGTTAATTAAGTTCATTGTGGCCCCGTAGAATAAAATGTGCTAAAATACGTTACCTTGAAAATTCTGTTAAAATTTATACGATCTTTGGCCGATTCTGCAAGTGTATAATTGAGTTGTTTGTGTCGATAGATGATTAGTTCACTCCTTTTGTATAAGAACAACAAACTACGTACAGAAGATATCGAGAGAAAAATCCCCTCGTTCAAATTAAAGATAAAAATAAAATACCATTTATGACATCTCCCATTTGAAGATTAAACTTTAAAAAAGGAAAATAATTTAAAGAAATGTTTTGATGGACTGGATTACGCATTCTGTGTCTATTTTGGTCTTATCTTGATAATATTTTAATGGATTTATACGGAGAATCCCACCAATTTCCCCTCTTGTAAAGTACAAATAAATAATCAAACAGCATATTTCACCAAACTTCTAAAATTCTATGAAACAGAAAAGGAGTATGGCGTACAAAATTCAAAATCAATATCAAAAAGTCGTTTCTCTCCAAATTAGCCTTCTAAGATTCATGTAGGAGTAGCATATAATCAAAGTTTATTTTCGTTTTTTTTAAACATCATATTTTAAGTACACACCTCCAGTAACTTATTTTCTAGTGCATCTAATGTGAGTAATTAAATTTTTAAAAATAATACTTTAAATTAGAGATCCATTTTCTCATTGATATTTTAATGTAATTTGAGACACAAGCCTAAAATTATGATTATATTTTCAAAGCATTATCAATTTCTGTCCTCTTAGAAACTGTATAATAACATAATACAACTAATGAAATCCTTAACTGTAGAATTTTTGTAATTATAGCTAATTTCAAAGTCTGATGACAAAAGACACGATACATAAATATTGTACAGTGTATAAAGTGCAGCAATTCCGTGCATTTCGTGCATATTTTTGTTCCACTCATTTCTTCCTTTTTATTTTCACTGTCAAGATAATTTTAGGATTTCTCACCATAAAAAAACTTTGTCTGATTTTTAAAACAAGTTAATTGCTGATAATTTTAAGGAAAAGTGTTAAGATTTTCTCATCATATTATTTCTCTAAAATCTATTCAATGGAACAGTAGATTGATGTATTTTAGAAATTATGAAAGTCTGGAAAACATTCAAAAAATATAAATGAATAGTTTTATTTCCAAAGTTTCAATATATATATATATTTCTCTACATTGAACGTTAATATAAACTTTATTTTTTTTCACACAAGGCTACAACTACTTATACGCATTGAACATGTATATGAACATGACAAAGAAGAAACACAAAAATGAAGCAAGTAAAATAAGAAAATTGATTGTGAAAATTGAAGCAATATGAGCTGCAAATTTGACATGGAAAAATTTTGTTACAAGTTTGGAATTAACTATTTCAATGATAGAAAAATAGAACATTTATAATTTTTGTTGTTTATCTCTCCCCCCCCCCCTTTTTCTTTAAATTCTTTGGGAAAATTAAGTTACTAAATAGGACAATCCCTTAATAACATTGGATGTCGTATGCGTAAATTAGGGATACGTGCAAAATGAAAATATTCTTTTCATTCGAGAATTAAATGGTTATTTTTGCTATAATGATAAAATAATGCTAATAAAATGTAATGTCAAAAACGAAAAATTGTGGTCACAATTTTGTTTCAAGATAATTATGAAAAAATCCACATTGCTGAGGAAAATAAGGATTTAATTGTGCTAAATCCACCCTATCTTATATTTTTTAAAAAAATAGCTGCTTTGTGGTTTCATGATATTCAGCTGCCCTTTTAACAAAAGTCTTACGACTTAGACAAAAATTTTGCTCTGCTCTAATTTCTGTCATGTACATAAAATTTTATACAAAATATTGATACGAAGTAGAAAATAAATTTTGGTGAAGTATATAATAGCTCAGCTAATTTTTGAAGATTGGGAAAATATTTCGTAGTTGTAGTCGTAAGAAAACTCAAAAAGGGGCCTCTTATTTTTCTTAGATTTTCAATTTAATTATGAACGATATGGCGATAACGTACAGTATTCAATATCAAAGTCTGTAAAATTAAATTAACCTTTATTAATTTCAAAGTTGACAAAATTATTTTACAGAAAAAAACACAAGAACGACTGTTTCATAATCGCAACATGAAATACAACAAAGTTGGAAACCAAAAAAACTATAACCTTAATTAATTGTAACCAATTTTGTCATAATCAGAAACAGTTTTCTTACATTTTTTTCAGAGTTTGAAAAACAGGAAACTTGATCAAATACAGCAAACAAGATCAAAAACTGAAAGTAAAAGAGTAAACTGAAAAATGGATTATACATTTCGATGATTTTTTAGGCTTCGTTCAATATTAATCGACTGTCATTGTGTCTGACGTCAGTGGGTGGGGACTATGAAATTCGTTTTTAATGTTTTCTGTATTTTAAAGTTGTTATTGTTGTTGTTTGTTTGTTTTTTTTAACAAGATCCTCAATTTCGATTTACCTTATATATAATTTTACATAGACAGGTAAAAACTAAACAGTCGCGTATACCGTTTATTGTACACTCAACAAGACTTTTTAAGTGTTCACTCTAATAAATGTATTTATTTGAAAACTACAAGATAGAATGATATGATATTTTCAAATTATTATAATCAATTAGTTGTTCAAAGATTGATTATCACCGATGTAAAACCAATGTGCCGTGACGCAGCATAAAAACAATAAATCTGTACTTTACGGCACGTGATTTGCATAATACGCAACCTTTTTGTGATCAACCTGTTTAACTAAAAACAAAACATTGGCAAAATGACCATTGAGAAAAGAGAGTTGTTGGTGATATCTGGATCATACTTGCACCACGTTTTACTCACTTTTATTTAAGTGCTTATTTGTCGTTGAAATTACTTTTAAAAATTAACAACCAGTATAAAAACCAATATATACACATTTTATAAAGGTTGTGCATCATTTTCATCGCCAACTTATCACAATTTGAAAGCTTTGGACAAAATTTAACCAAACCGGAATTATCTAAATTTTGGTCTGAGCCTAAGGTTTCGTGCCACAACCAGGTTAAAAGAGTGATACATTGTCCTGGAACAATTTTAGAAAGGCTAAAACAAACAACTCCAATGCTATGAAAATGATAAGAAATTGGTGCTCGTGGCAGTCTAATATCAGCTCATCAGTCTGAATCATCCTTAAAGCGTATACGTACGTGCTAAACGTCCAAGAATATTGGCCAAAAAGGCCTCTGTGTGATGATCCACTGCAAAATACCCGGATATGTGTCCCATTAAACACATTTGGAATTTGTAATGTCAAAGTCCACCCCCCTCCTCACAATTTCAACTGTTTAGAAAATCCATGCAGAAGGTGTGGCACCAGATGGGCCAATCTCCTATTCAGGGGTATATGGTATCAATTGAAAAAGGATGTCTTGCAGTAATTAAAGCGAGAGATGGTCTTACTCCATAGAGATTGTTTTATGTGAATTTTCATTTTGAGGGTACAGTTGTACATCATGTCCTTGACACTTTGCTTAAAATTCTACGAGATACTTATATGAAATTTACAAAAAATCGAACTGAAATATGCATCATTAAACATTAATTGAAGAATTATTTATTTTATGCATTTGTTCTTTAAAACTTAAAAAAAAATGTTAGGTGAACACTCGGAAGTTTGGATCAGTGTATATATAAGGTTGATAAATAATTTTCTGTAACCGGTTACTCGCGTGTTTTTCCGATCGGTTCTCAGACAAGCATTTTATGAAAAAAAGATTAAAATAAAAAAAAAAATACTGGTATATCTTCACTTTTGTCTACTGTTCTTTGTCAAATACATATTAAGATACACGATTTAATTGCTGGTATAATTTAAGCTTAGAGTGATTTATGTTGTTAAAATTACATTCGAGATTTTTTTTTCAATCATACCGAGTTAAGGCTATGTACGTACTTTATATCAGCTAAAATATGGTTCCGGGTTGCTTAACTACATACATTTCTTATTCAATTTATAACAGATGGTACCTTGAATTATCTCAGGGCCTTCATTTCTCAAAAAATATTTCAGTGAACATCCGAAATTTACCTGATAACTAAAGTTTCACATTGACGCATATGAGATTGTATGCTCTTTTGCATACTACCCGAAGCTGTTTTATTGAATTGAAGACCGAAAAAGCACCAGCTGTTTATCTGAACCACATCTATATCAATAGGAAAAACATGACCATTTCTTCTTCAAAATAAATTTAGAGATGCACTTTACAAGAAGAAATGTATCTTTAAGTAATTTGCGAATATTGGCATGGTTTATGAAGCCTTAGGGAGTTACAACAATTTGAAACCAGAATTTAAGGTAAATTTGCGATACCTCTAATTTAAAACACGCTTTTATAGAGACAATGGTCATCTAGTTGGTTCATTTTAGGATAGAATTTTACTAAATAATTTTATAGAAATTGGTGAAAAAAATTGTACAGGCTTTTTCGATACTAAATCATATATCATATATCAGGTATTCTCTTTATACTTTAAACTCACCTCCCAAAAATCTACCTTATTCAACTTCTGTCTAAGAACATGAAAATAATGAAAATTATCCAAACTGAATTAAAGGTATGGGTCGATGTACTGTATTTCACTGAAATTAGCTTTCCCTGAAAATTTTATTTATAACTATGATTTACATCTTCAATAAACGAATTCTTTATTACGAATAATAAAAAATAATCAGAATTGCACAATTTCATAAAAGAAACTAATGCATTTATCTAATTATTTCATTATCTCACAGTTTTCATATGATACAAATCAGAGGTATAAAAAACCACGCGAATCATGGAAATTTCAGCAATCACACAATCCATTTCATTCAGAAATAAATCCAAAGCATTGCTAAAATTGTGATAACTATCAACAGAATAACAATGCTGTATAAGGGTATATTTTTCCTTTTTAATCAAATGAAAGTTCGATTTACAAAGAAAACAAACTAGTGCAAACAAGTACATGTTTATGAAAGTGTAAGCACACTTTAAAATAGAACATACAATTCAACTTGTGTACCGGGTAATATGAATATAAAGCAGTAACACAGTATTTCACTAAAACAATACAAATCAGGGAGCAGATTAAACAGGGGCCACTAAAAATATGCGAGTTGGCTTATTCTTAAATATTACAACAAAATTCTTCAAAGGATATATTTTGTTTTCATTAATTTTTATTCAAACTCATTGACCATATTAGGTGTCAATCCTTTGACTCTATAGATTGTAAACATCTTTCTGCTTTTTTTCATTAAATGCTTCTTTAACACTTGGTTTTTCTTCCTCCATTTCCACAGTCTCTACCACTCCTTTTACTTCGTCTTGAAAACGATGCCCCTTTCCCCAAGTGGAGAAGTGCATTATGAATACTAAAACAAACATTGAAATTCCATAGGCCTGCATAACATAAAAGAAAGAAAGAGGGCCGTTGTTCTTGTAGAAATATCCAATGATCCACATGTAGCAAACACCACCTAACGCTCCTCCTAAAAGGAGAAAAGTTATTCCAAGTCCAGACAAATGAATGTGAAAATCGCCCCACCCTACACCGGACGGAAAGCAAGGAGCAATAAAAAAGGCCATCGGTTGTGTTAAAATCCAGAGCATAATGGAGCTGTCATCAGCAAAGATGTTCAGCAATATCGCTGATACTAAGGCTCCCGTTCCTTCTATTAGAATGATAATTCGAATTGGAATCCATCGTGCAGCAATGAATCCAGCGAAACGCCCAAGAGCAAAACTAATCCAAAAAGAACTATTTATCAGAGATGCCTCATTACCGTCGAACTTGTTGTAATCAATAGCAAAACTGCGGATGAATTTTCCATAAACACGCTCACCTCCAACAGCATTGAAAAAGAAAAGGAAAAGAAGTCCTAAAATATGGACGCCAAAGAGGCGATTTCCATTTGCACAGGTTGCAGGGTCAATGATGTCACGAATCGTTGGTGGGGTAAACGAATTCATCTTTGAATAAATGACTTTTGTATTCCTTGACCATTGCCCACAAAATTGGTAATAATAAAACACAACTGACAACCCTATAGTAATTATAGCAACAATCAAATATGCCCACTCTATTCTGGACTCCTTTAGATATTCTTTTAAGAGAGAGTCATTGATATATGTCTGTGTAGATAAAAGAACGGTTGATACATTGGAAGAATTTTGTGCTGTTGATGTCCTAGGAACTGCTAAGAACGGATTTGCTATCTGTGGAACGATGAAGGATCCGATCCCAAACCCTAAGTGTAAAACAAAAAGAGGAGAGGATGCCTTTTCCCGCCAAATTTCTAGAACAAGCTTTTGTCCAACTAAAAATACAAATATATTTAGCATTAAGTTAAAAAGAATTGACATATCATCGGAAACAAAATTCAATATGTGCAGGACTGGAAATTCATATAAAAAAATAATTAAATACCAATGTTAAGTATTCCTTCGAATGTTCCCTGCATTACAAATAGAAACCACATGAGACCGATACTTTGAGAAAATGGGAGAACAATAGTTGCTGTACCCATCAGGTCAAGGCTGGTCGCTAGCATCAGATCGCAGTAGGGGTCAAGTTTGTCGACAAACAAGCCCCCCATTGCACTTCCTATAAAGTATCCACCACTTCGACCGGAAACAGCTCTTGATACTTCCTCATAGTCAAGGTCAACCCGGAGCTTCAGGTCTTTCAGTGTTGGTCCGGCAATTTCAATACAGAGTCCCTAGGTATAACACAAATATATCAATATAAAAATATTAGCTAGAAAGGAAAACATTTGATAAAAAAAATAGCAAGATCCATGATAGTTAAAGTCATAAAACAAATCAAGTAATCGTGCGCATATGGTTAGAACATCTTTAAAATATTTTTTTGTAATCTCCAGACTCAGAATGAAAAAAAAAAAGGATAGGTAAGTACCTGATGGGGGTATATTTTTCTCGGAAAATTCCGACAAGATACGGGGGAGGGGAGTAAAATTAAAACTACCGTTTCCTAGAAGTTTTGAGTTTGTATTTTAAGCCAATCGGTCGGGAGAGAGCAAACAAATAATTTTTTAAAGATGGCCTTGTAGTTTTTTGTTACTTACGATGCATATCCATATAGAGACTAGGAAGACAGTCTTAATAATTTTTTGTGTCTTGGATGGCCCTGTATGTGCCATCTTAGGTTCACGTTCATCAGATACAGACATGTTATCCTATAATTTGAAAGTTAATGTCCAACATATATCATTTAAATAAAAGGCATAACAATTTTTTAATCAACGATCCTGAATGATAAAATTTACCTGCCTTTTAGGCAAAACAAGCTTTGTATTGAAATATTATCAAAACACTTATATTTTGGTTCTTAAAATTAAAAGTTATAAAGAAAATTAGGTTTTTTTCTGATTAATTGTGCATGAGACCTCAAAATCAGGCATGATGAGGAATACATACTGACTTTTATTTAAAACTTCAGAAATAATACCAAACTTTCAAAGAAGAGACCAATACTCCACAATGTTCACCAGAAAGCACTGCATTTGGATAAAAATATTTATGAAAGTTTTTTTTTCTCTGGTCTGAACCTATTAAATAACATCTTATTTAATTTTTTTTTGGCTTCTACCTAACCCAATAGATCCATGTTTTGGACTAACGCATCTGACTACGTAGTTTGCTATTAAGTTGATATGATTAATCGTGCCCCATCATTTCTGTGCATTTACCATTATAATAATTTTATGACAAACGAGTTCACTTTCCTGTTTATATTTTTATGGTACCCTTATGATAGAGCGGTTGCTTCGTTATCGGGAGGTCACTGTTTAGATTGTCGTGTGAAGCATCGCTTCAACCTTAAACATAAGTTGTGAATGTTCCTTCGAGAAGCACTTGGAATAAAGGTTAAAGTAAGCAGGGTATACCCACTCCTCCATGGCACCTGATCCAACATACAATGTTTTATAGGTCTTTTGTCGCTTTGATTCATATTGTTAAATGAACTTTTGAGCTTGAATATAGATCCTTGCCTCTATAAATTTTTCACGAGACCTTGAAAAACAAGATTCAGTGTCGTTGAAGGCGTAGGGGAGATAAAAATTAAAAACCTCACTGCTTAATGACTTTGAATGCCTAGCATAGGTCAAAATTTAAAGCCCTTTCATTATCTCGTAACAGACGTAAAAGAAAAAAAGTTACATCAATCAATTGACCAATCCTTATTTATGTAGAAATATTCTGTCTCACGTTCATATGGTGTTGATGTCTCCAAAACAATGTGATGACCAAGAGTTGTGTGCGATCAATATGTTACACGAAACAGGCTCCTGATAGATAAGTCGATGTTTCAGGAATTTTGATAACTTCTTGAAACGTGAACATTTCATAAATTTTATTGTTGTTATAGTTGCCCTCATTGGTGTATCATCCAATTTCTAGAATTATGATATGTTTTTTATGGTAATTTTGACTGTGGAATATTCTGTCGATAAACACTAATGCCCACTGCGATGATGACAAAGTGACCGGGGATGAATACTCCTTATAGGCACCTGATCTCACCATTGAAATTTCCAGGGGTCCGTGTTTCATGCGCCGTTCATATTTTTGTTTTGTTTGCTTTTATGTTTAATTTGAGATGGATCACTGTTTGTTATGTACCAGCTTTTTTACATGCAAATCATATTAATATGATCAATAAGAATTCTTCTGTTTTCCTCTTTATTCTATTTACAAGTTTAATCATCTAGTATGGTTCCACTTTAGACCTTAACCCTTGGAGCCAAGGTTTTGTAAAAAAGAAAATATTCTACACTATATTATGAAGCTTGCACTTTAAAGCACTAATCATCACTAATCAGAAATTTTCCTTTAAAATTTCCTTTGAAAAATGTTTTTCCTCACTTTGGCACTAGCCTTGCCACAAGTCCCCCGACCACATATTAATGTCAATAATGACTTATTTTAACCTAACTATTTCCCTTTGCAAATCTTCAAACTAACTGTCGCGACATCTTATTGCCGGGTTCGGGTGAAATGAACATAGAAAATAGAATCTACAGATGTCAAGAACATCAACGACCTTTGCAAGATTGTTTCGAAAAAAAAATATGGTAACTGGGAACCTGATGGAACAGGTTTATATGCAAAAGTATTACATGAATACTGGAAAACATATAGGATATTTTGCTTTGTTTGAGAGGCAATGTTACTGTCGCTGATGTAACTTCCAGATCACCATTGTTAACCACTGGAATTTTGAAGAAATTTCAATTTAACTAGAAAATTTTAATAAATACTCTTTTCGGTCCAGGTGCTTTTTGGAAGATTTATTTATCAAGGAAAGATATAGTTACATGTATTTTTATCTTGCGGATAAAGAGGTGCAGATTTTTCATGTCTTGGTGGGTAAATTATTTTTATTGAATTGTGAAAAGAAAATATTTCACTAAGGGTGCCCTTTGAGAATGTAAAGTTTTTATTGCTATAGTAAACATAAAACAATTAATGAAAACAATCTTTATTGATAATGATAAGAATTCTTCAAAATGATAATAATTATTGGATTTTGCTTATAATTATAATTTCTCACTATGCAACTTCTCATCAAATTTAAGATTCACGGCTTTTGGATCCACAGCCTCTACCTCGACTTCTTTTGTCTCCTTTATAAATCGATGCCCTTTACCCCAGGTCGAGAAATGCATTATGAAAGCCAGGACACACATTATAATCCCATAGGCCAGTATAGTGCGAAAGAAAGAAAGAGGACCGTTGTTCTCATACAAGTACCCTATGATCCACATGTAGCAAACACCACCTAACGCTCCTCCTAAAAGGAGAAAAGTTATTCCAACTCCAGACATATGAATATGAAAATCGCCCCATCCAACACCGGACGGAAAACAAGGGGCAATGAAGAAGGCCATTGGCTGCGTTAGGACCCATAGCATCGTAGTGCTGTCCTCTGCAAATATGTTGAGAAGAACCGCGGAGACCATTGCTCCTGTTGCCTCTATCAAAACAATAATCCGAATGGAAATCCAGTTTGCAGCAACAAATCCAGAAAAACGCCCAATAGCAAAACTAATCCAGAAGGAGCTGTTCATCAGAGATGCCTCATCTCCGTCTAGTTTGTTGTGGTCAATAGCGAAACTGCGAATGAATTTACCATAAACTCGTTCACCGCCAGTACAATTAAAAAAGAAAAGAAAGAGAAGTCCCAGGACGTGTATACCAAACAGACGATTCCCATTTGCACATGTTGCAGGATCAATTATTTCGCGGATTGTTAGCTGAGCATCCGTATCACTTTTAGATTTACTGGCTTGAGTATTCCTTGACCATTTACCGCAGAACTGGTAGTAATAAAACACAAATGAAACCCCTACGGCAATTAAAGCAACGATGAGGTATGCCCACTCTATTCTGGACTCCCTCAGTAATTCGGTTGTCTCCGTTGTTGATATAGGTACGACCGTGGTGATGTTAGTGGCATTCGCTGCGGCGCTGGGTTTAAGGACAGCTAGAAAAGGATTTGCAATCTGTGGAACGATAAAGGACCCAATTCCAAATCCAAAGTGTAAAAGAAAAAGAGGAGATGACGCTTTTTCTTGCCAAATTTCCAGAATAAGCTTTTGACCAGCTGCAATTATAAAATCATAAATAATCAGTTTGTGTCAATGAGAGTTTAAAAAATCTTTAGATGACATTATATGATTGGTTAAGCCAAAGTATAACTCTTTTATGACTGTACCTATATTGATCACTCCTTCAAATGTGCCTTGCATAACAAAAAGGAACCACATCAAGCCGATATTTTCAGAATGTGGAGCTACAATAGTAGCTGTTCCCATTAGGTCCAGACAAATAGCCAGCACTAGGTCACAGAGAGGATCGAGTTTATCCACAATAAACCCTCCCATTGCAGCTCCAATAAAGAACCCGATACTTCGACCGGAAACAGCTCTCGATACCTCTTCATAGTCCAGATGTGCACGAAGTTTAAGGTCTTTCAGTGTTGGTCCAGTTATTTCCAAATTTAGACCCTATATATCGAAAAAAAATTACTGGATTAAAACAAGAATACATTTACCATTATTAGCGTAAACGACTATTTACTACATGTGTTCTTATTGCATAAAATGGGAGATCAATGTTCAAAATAAAGTCGTCATTTTTCTTTCACTTACTATACAGATCCATATAAAAACCAAAAAGCCAGTCTTGACGACTTTCTGTGCAGTTGATGGTCCAGTTGGGCTTTGCGTTTCAGGTTCTTGTTTTTCTTTCGAGGCCATCCTTTCAATTGGTTGTATTAAATCGAACGTTCATCACTTTAAAGATTTAATTTGGTGAGAACTTCGATGATAAGAGAAAATTTATCGAGGTCAATTTAAATGAAATATGTTCGTCGGGAGGCAGTTTTGATAGATTCTCTTGACATCTCGAAATTCCCGAGATCTTGATAAACTGTATTCTTAGTTTCGGTGTGTACATAGGTAATGTATTAAGGAGATAATATAGATAAAACTTAGAAACCAAAAACTGCATTATATATACACACTTTGTTCAACATGGATGTTTAGTGATAAAAGCTATCTTTACCGCACTTCTATTCATATCTACTGAATTACCAGTACTTAGTTTCTTTGAATAAAATCTGATGCAAAAAACATACATTTTTTGTATTGTATGCTATGGTAGCAACGAAGGACAACGAAAATTTCAATATTTTGACCATGTTAAATTGCTATCTTTACTTGAGAAAGTGAGAAAATTACGGTATCCGGGTGACGGGTTTGAAAAGTACCCTAAACGCATTTCCAAAGCTTAAATTGATCTACCAACATAATATACATATTTGAGGAGTTAAACAAGAAGTAACAATGTTTTGCAGGGTAATAATTTCACAAATCTTGTCAGTAATTGACTACCTTCAAAGGTAGGACGTGTTCAGAAGGACTGATCGAGATGGTTTGCTCGGGTAGAAGCTTAAAGAGCCGAGGAATAGAACGAAAAAAAGTATCGAAAGTAAACAAGTAGGTCCCTGCCACCCTTAAAACGCCCAATAGCATTAAGGGCATGAGCTACAACATCAATGTAATGCAATCTTCAAAAGTCTTATTGACCCCTGGACATCAAGCAGTCAAACTGTTGGCATAATTGAAATAAGCTTTAAGCTTCCTACCAATTTTATGAATTTCAGGCCCCCTGGATCAGGGGTTCTGATGGTAGGGCGGGGCTCTAATGATTATATAGAAAAATGCATTAATTCCTTGAAAATCTTCTCATCTGCTCTTGGATATTAATCGGATGATTTAAGTAAATAGTTTTGATGAGTACCTCTTCCAAAATTGTGAATAACTTGACCCCTGGGTTATGGGGTATGGTGTGGTGCATGGTGGTGGTGGGGGGGGGGGGCACTAATAATTGTATAAATACATGTACTGAAGTTTTAAAATCTGCACAGAAAGAAATAACAGGTTAATTAAACTAGTGTGCCTCGAAAAACGTTTGTCGTGATTAGTAAACTTTCAATTTACTGACTAAGCTAGTGAGAAGTGGAGAGGGGTCGTATAGATACTTACTAGTGAAAGTTACTTTTAAATTCTAGATTGACTAATCTTATCTAGTAAATCCACCCAATACCCAGTAAAACTACTTTTAAGGTAGTGATCGTATGGACAGTAAATTTACTAGTCTTCTTAGTGACTTTAACTAGTTATTTTTTCAGTGCATGCTCTTTGGTATTATCTTTATTTTCGCGTAATTCCGCGAGTCTAACTGTAACTGTTCGCAAAAAAATTATCCCCGCATATATTTCTATTGGTAATATCACGATGGAAAAAAAAATCAAAATGTGCTAATTATTGTCATATACAAATTTTAATTGAAAAAATCAAATTTTTGTAGAGGACAGTAAGGATTACTAGTTTATATACAACAGCTTGTGAATAATAATAGAAAGCTATATCTCGCGAAAAGAAGTTACAAAAACAACGTTATCTACAGTTCTCACATCTCAATCCAATCTTCCTCTGGACTTAAAACAAAATAACAGCTTATATATGATGTACATACCAATGTAATAGCATGATGAGCGAATTTAGAGAAAATTATAGGATTACTCACAGATGTTATTGTAGGACGTGTTCGTATTATATTAATTGCCATATAGTTTCAGTAATTATGCTCACATACATGTATTCATCACCTACCATGAAGCTTCGTCTTAGAGTTAATCAACGAGATGTGTAGTCATGTAAAGTCAAGTGCTGTTACATTCAGTGTCTCCAACTTAGGAGTAGGATTTCGGCCTTCCAATCGATCTATATATAAATACAGAGCCTTATTAATGAAAATATACTTCGCAAATAGATCTTCATATTCGTCTTACTTCATATATGTAACAATTTTCCGATGATTTTGCTTATTTTTGTGAAAAAGAGCTGAGAACAGCATTAATGAGAAACATGTAACCTTGTGCACTAAAATCATGTAAATGGACACTTGGAAAACTGTTAACAAAGCATAAGAAATCTATTTCATCAGACTACATCATATGATTTTTTAAAAAAGCATGTGATCATATGGTTTTTGCTAAAGTGATATTGAGCATATCTTTGAAAATTAAGAAAGTCGAGGTTTTTAAATGACCTCTATAAAAATTGCACATACTTTCGAGGCCACTGGTTGCATGTAATTTCTACTGTGTAATACATTATGCTGTAATATTGAAAAATAATAAACATATATTTTATTTTTTTAATTTCACGAAATACCTCTCTTTCAAATAAGAAAATAAGTTAAATAAAGTTTTCATAAACAGAATTTACCTTTTTTGCAATCTGTAGTCCAGATCTTGTTGCAACGAAAAAAATAAGTATCTCCGAAAAATGGGACAACTCTCGATGTTTGTTAATAGCTGCTGTAGATATATACTTATAATTACAGGAATAAAGACTTCACTGTCGTAAACCTTCATTTATCATTAGTGTAGACGGGGAAATTGTCAAAATGCTCTGCAGCGAAAATCCTCATTCAAGAATTCAACGTTGTTTGGAGTCGTCTCTCTTTCTTCATTCTCCTCTAAGATAACCTTTTTCTCATATTTAACAATATTTCTTGCGTTACCAAAAACCGAACATGTAATTAGCAGTTTGGAGTTTGGTGTTTACTTTGTTCGAAATAGCTTGTCCAGGGCATGTAGCGAGTAGGGAAATGATCGTCAAGTACAGGGTCTATACATGTATAGCTAAAATGACAATTTTGTTGTTCAGGACTGTAGCTATATGGGTCATTTTCAAAAAAAAGTTCACTTTTTTTGTCTTTTGATCAAAATAATAGGAAAAATATTCTTTAGAGTGAAATTTTTTCCCGTTGGTGAATATACATGGTCATACAGCTTATAAGTTATTTTATGATCATCTCCCAGGTGTTTTATAAAAAATATTCTATGCATTTAAGGTATGTCACTCGTCAGCTTTTTGGAAAAGTTCACGCAGAACCTCTTACATCAAAACTATTTATCAAAATTCAATTTTTATAACATATTCAAATTGTTAATGATTTAACATTCAACGAGAAAACTGCTCAAAAAGCTACAAAGAAAGCAAGAAGCAAGAATATTAAATATAGGTCTTAATTTATATTTTTCGATCAAGTTTTACACCTTCCTTCAACAAACTTTGCCAAAAATAATGATATGTCAAATTAGTTAAGATAAAATTTACACCATTTTTCGCCTGAAAATCACATATTTTGACCAATATTTCAAAATTAACATCACTGACCCCAACTTTTTCTTTCATTATTTTAAAGTACTGGATACTTGCGACTGAACAGCACTTAAGCCGTAAAAAGCTTGATTTAAGAAAAAAATTTATTGCCTATTTAGTTTTTCAACACCCCAAATATGTTACTTTTTAGTGCAAAAAGGTAACAAAATAATTTACGCGCATTAATTTGCAAGATTTGTTTAATGATAAATATTATTCAAACTATTTTACGTCAAATAAAATAAAATTTATTGCCATGGTTACATCTGATTAATTATGATAAGAGTTAAAATAATTAACCAAGTAAAATTTAACAGTAAACCATGTCACATTAAAAGAAATTTTATAACGCGCTTAGTTAAATGATAGGGAAAATATTACCCTGTGTAGATATGTACAAATTTTACACCTCTTATTAATTGAATTCATTCACAGATTAATTTAATATGGGTGTTTTACTTATGCCGCCCACTAAATACTAGTATTGTGCATTTAACATTCCGGAAGTGACATGTCCTACCAGTTAATGTCATTCTTGTTACCAAAAAGAAAATGTTAAAATAAAAGTTATCTCACTTTCCTAGGAACTGTTTTCGCGATCCTCAATATATCATCATTTTCTGTTGTCTCAAGTTTATGAGCGCCATGATTTGAAAGTGAATAAAGAAAGGGTTCAAAGGTCGATAAGTTTGTCTTAATGGTAGTGTATAATGAAAATATGCCCTATGTGTTACCTTAATAATATGCAAGTACTCTTTAAATTTTTTATTCTGCTAGAACAATTAGATGAACTAAGTTACAAAGAAATAGTTTCAATGTCTCGATGATGCATAAAGAGTACATTATACTAAATAACGGGTGATTTATATGAGAAACGTCCATCCTGTTACTGTCATTCCTGTTACCATTAACATGGTAACAGTACGGAAAACTGGACTTCATTTCTTGAGTTTTAACAATAAAAAAATTACTTTTATTTTTCTAAGTAATACCTGGTAAAAGTTTAATAACACATGTTAAAAAACTTCGTAAATCATATTGAAATATGTTTGTGCTTCAAATAGTGCCATTATAACTTAAACATGCACTCCTGTAACAGAATGGACAGAAATTGTAACAGGAGGGACAAATTATCCTGGTATTTATATACCTATTTAAGTTTTGTCATTTGTTTTTCTTTAAATTAAAATTTACAGCTCTTTTTATGAAAGTAACAGGAAGGACATTAAAGTTAAAATGACTAAGATATAATGTCAATATTTTTTAAAAGAAATATTTTCTTTTCTGCAATGCAGTGGATTTTAGTAGTTTATTACTGTATTATTCAAATAAGTTGAAAAAATCATAGTAAAACCACTTTCATTTTTCCAAAAATATGTCATTCAAAAAAATGAACCTTTTTTTTGAAGATGACCCATACAATAGGTTGATGATTGGGTTTGTTCAGGGTCCGTAGCAAAATGGTGAAGACTGTAGGTACAGGGTCGTTAACTAGTACTTGGATTCTTTATTGAATGTGTGGAACGCTTTGGCACTAAAATTTCCAAAACAAGGAAGAGGTAAAAAGTTTATGATCCTTATTCTGATGTCACAAAATTTAATGCCAAGTAAAAATGCAAATCAAACACTTTAGTAGCTGTTTTAATTGTTCTTCCATTAATTGTATCTTAACTAATAATGGATAAGATCATTATGAAATATTATTCACATTTGCAGACATGGCAGAGTTATTTTTTTTAATTAAATTTACTCAGATAAATAACTAATCTCACCTCAACAAATGTTTTCTTTATGTAAGGCAAAGTCCCAAACTAAACCTTCAACCTGATGGAGGCCGGATGGAGGAAGAAGAATCTAATCGTGTGCATCTCTTAATACATCATCCATTAAAGTTTGATTGAGGCACTTCTCTGTGTTACTTGGAAATATATACTCTTCAGTGCAATTAAAAACAATATACAGTGAAACCTGTCTAATCCGATATGCACTGGGAGACGATTTTTGTGTCGGAATAGACAGGATGTTGGATTGCACAGTGTTAAAACAAGGAAAATACTAAAATGGGAAAGAAATTTAATGTCGGAATGCACAGTGTGTCGGATTATTCAGGTGTCGGATTAGACAGTTTTCACTGCACATGTAATCATGATTATAACACCATGAACAGGTATTGGATGTACATGTACATGTATTACCCGGTAAGTGTAATATTAGCCTAATCTTCACTTGCAAAAGTTCTCACAGTTGAATTACTGGTACTTTGTAATGTTCTCAGTGAAATCAAATATATGAGCATCGCATATGATATATAATAATACAATATTAAGGAAAAACCAAACTGCTTTACACTTCAATGAACAGACTAGATTAGAAATCAGTAGATAAAAGCTAGCAAATAATCATAAAATTACTATGGTACTGTTACATAATTAAGTATATATTCTGCTGGCCTGGTAGCAGATACCATTCTTCAGGAGTCATATGCCTTTATTTTAAATCATTTCACATACTTGACTAAGAATTCCAACATTTTCATTGGTTATTAACCATACGAGTTTTTGGTCATTGTCCATCTTGTCAAAATTCTTACAACAGTTTTCTTATATCTTATACAAAATAGCCCTTTTTCCCTTTATATGACTGCAGAAGAATAAAAAAAATGTTTTTCATCATCAACTTAATTGTTGTTACATCTATGACAAAACCTTTCATCTTGAGGAAAGTTTTGGTATGATAATCGTTCCCTTTCAATTTAGAGTTCTCAAAACCAAAATTTGGTTTAAAGGTACAGTTGGTTTATGACTTTTCGTCAGAGTTTAGTCCGAGATGAAAATGCCTTTATTTGATATATCGTCTTACCAAAAATTTTAACCTGGTCACTCATCCGGAAAATGAACACTGGTCGAGCATCCCAAGCAAGTCTGGTAGTGTGCATCCTAAAAATTATCATCCATGCAAGGACCAAAACTCAAGTAGGACTTACATTTACTTGGAAATGCGACCTACTGCAATTTCATCCGGCCCCCAAAACACTAGTCTGATCATTCTTTACTAAATTGAAGCATCTGAATCTTTAACTGGTTCAAAGAAAAATAAGGAAGCATTTTATGTACATCTCTGATTAAAGAAGGGCATAGAAGTAGTTGAAAAGAAATCTGCTCGCTCCAAAAACTTCAACCTTGGTAGCCAACATGCCGAAGCCAAGGGTATTGCGTAAGCTCCCCACGATCAAGTTCGTTGCGGTGAGCTGAAAAATAGTTACAAATTCGTGCTTCATAACTGCAAAGAGGTGCTTTGAGACTGCATCTTTCAAAAACCTACTGTTTCTATCTGCTTTTTCTATGTATATACCGATATCGTCACTTTTATAGTATTCGTACTTTTCAGATCTGTGTTTGTGCACTTGGAATTCATCCTCCTTTGTGACCTCTAAGAAGAATGAATTGGCATCAATTTACAATGGATGTTCTTTTCTAAATCATGTTCCAGTGACTGACTATTTGCGTCTTTTAAATCAGATGCCACATCTTTAATCTAATACTGCCTTAAGTATATTGTGTATGTTGATATTTGAGCCATCTCTCATAATTCAATTCAGTATCAAATACAAGATGAGAAGAGAAGAATCGAATTGCTCTTGAATCGCTCTATATATTCCTCTCTGTTTTAAATATGAATTTGAACGGTAAGTTCGGGTATAGTCTGAATAATACGAAACGTCTGAATTCTTGTGTAACCCACACAGCTGTTACTTAAGTGGAGTCAACTAGTAGTAACGATGGTTGATGAAATTCAGCAAGAATTCTTTGCCAAATTAGATTAAATCTTAATGTACATGTATCAATTTATCTCTTCTGAAAAAGGACATAGCCCATTTTGAATCCTTAACACAAGGATGATCCATGCCAAACTTGGTAAAATTGTCAAGATTGCTGTTAAGAAAATGTCGAAATTATAAAATTGAAAGCGAAAGACAGATCACGGAAGACAAGAACGAACACTAAAGCTCCCTATTGCAGATTTGCTTTAAATCAGCGGAGTGAAACATATGGAGATCGAATAGTCTTCAAGATCAAAAGGCTATATAAACAATACAAAATCGGAGCAGAGCAAACACAGAGCTGAAAAACTTCAGAGGTGGGATCAGGTGCTATGGAGGAGTGCGCATCGCCTGCCGACCAATCACACCCGTGGTGTGCTCCTTGTCATGATCGGGTAA